TTCATGGTTCCTCATTTATATGCTGACAATTTTAAGACACAACTCAAAACAACAAAGTGTAGTTACAAGGGTGGGGGTGGGTGGGAATTGGGAGCTATGAAAAAAAAAAAGGGTTTCTAAAGCCACAAATGGCCATGTGTCCTATCCCATGTAGCTTCTGTAGTGCCCAGTAGTCCCAACCAAAAGCTGCTCAAGAAAGATGCAGTGAAAGACTGCAGTCTGTGGCACATTGCTAAGCCCAGAACCCAACTCATGGTGGTGGCTGGAGGTAATCACCGGTGACACTGCTGAGGTGGCATCACAGCAGCCACCAGCAGCAATCTGGGGGCCAACCTGGACGGCAATGTAGGCAGCGACTAGAGACAGCTTGAGAGACGCCAGGCACAGGCCCATAGCATTGGCTGACTGGCAGTGCTGAGGGTCAGGCAGCAGCAGACAGCTCTTGGAGGTGTTGGGCAAAGCCAGGTATGTAGCCCTGGTGGTTGGCAGTGCCAAAGGCTCAGGCACCAGCAGGAGAGGTAACCAGTGACTGGAAGTGAATCGGAGGCCAGAAGTAAGGTTCTTCCAGGTGAGAGTCCCGGGACAGACTGTCTGAATGGGTCTGCTCCCCCATCTTTTGTGGCCTTTTGGTCTCTTCACTCCTCCCCTTGCTCCCAACAGCAGCACAAGTCTCACATGATTGGTGCCTTTTCAAAACAGGCACGGCTTTCAAAACCCAAATGCCACCAGTATGCGAAGCTGGCTAACTCCACTGCACTACTCAGCAAGGAGGCAGGGTGCTCCTCTTACAACTGCATTGTAGACTCAGTGAAATATTACTCAGCTAGTAAAAACATGAAACTAATGGGGGATGGGATCACCAGCAGTGGGGGGAGGGAAGTGCACTGGACTATGGTGATAGCACACAGGTGATTTGGTGATGGGGAGCCCACCGGGACTACAAATGAGATGGAAAAAGGCACAAAATGATGTAAAAAAAATCCTATTATATTATTTTAAAAATCATTTAAAAAAAGATGCAACAGTAGATTTTGAACAAAAATAGATGGATCTGGAGGTGATTCTACTAAGTAAAGTAAGTCAGACAGTGAAGGATTCGTACTAGATGGTTTCACTCATTTGTGGAATGTAAGTACCCAAAGCATACACACTGGAAAAACATAGAAAAAACAATTCTTAGACTATGTGAAAAATATGCAAGTTACCAGAGTGTACACCACCACTCAAACAAAAAATGCTTAAATTTAACACGGTTGAGAATTGTGAGGATGATCTCAAGATAACACAAACTAAGCACTTTCAGCGAATTCAAATAAAGCTGTAAACTTATTTTGTGCGATTGCTGCCTATTTAGTCTACTAATTCTCAAAGTTAATAGGCAGCAATGTCACAAAGCTAGCTTGTTAATATGCTGATTTCAGGGCCTCTTCCCTCTTCATCTAACTCATCAGCTGTACTGTAGGCCAGAAATTCTAAACCTAAAACCAGGACCCTGTTAGAATTTGATGGACCACAATTCAAGAAACACTCAGTCTTTTTTTTTTTTTTTTTAAAGATTTATTTGTGCATACAGAACTGGGGTACAGGCCAGAGGCCCAGGGGCGGCGAGAGGCTTCACCAGAGACAGAGTGGGGAGCAGAACAGGCAGATCGACGAAGTACACTGCTGAGGGGAGCAGTGGGCGGGTCAGGAGAGGTCTGCCACACCATGTGGTCACCTCCGGGGCAGGCGGGAATCGAACTCATGCAGAAGCGGGTTTTAGATTCTCAGTGCTGTGCTTTAACCCGCTGCGCCACCAGGGAGGGCCGAAACACTCAGTCTTTTGCCAGAAATTACTAGGTTGCTTGAATTTTTAAGTCCTCTGGAATTCCCTTGTTATCTGTGAGAGAATCTTGGGGTTAAGGTTAAGAACACTCCAGCCCCCCACCCCGGCCATCAAACAAGGCACCAAGTTCAAAGAATGTTTGGGATTGAGCCACTTTGGATGGTTTTTATGAAGGGCAGTGTGTCAGGCAAGCATATGGATGGCAGAACTTTCTAGCCTTCTTTTCTGTCCCATGTCTCCTTCCTGGGGTTAACTAAAACTCCCTAAGCTCTTCAGGAAGCAAGGCCCTTGGCTGGAAGGTTAAAGAGAGTCTAGTAATGGGCTTTACAACCAACAGAGAAAATGACAAAACAGGCCAGCTTGCTTTGGGGTAGAAGGAACAGGAAATGTGCACTTAAATTTGAACATGCAATTTTGGGGACCTCAGCTCCTCTCTGCACCTTGATTTTTTCCCCCTAACAATGTCCTCTTTATTTGAAGGCCTGTCTCCTCTCTTTGTTAAAGTCTGATTAAAGACCCCAGTAGCCAATACCCAAATCTTTGATCCAGACAAGTAGCCAAGCGGTAACCCAGAGGCTGAGCCGGCCCTTGAGTTCAGGCTGAGTAGGGTGAAGTTCTAACGGGTTTTACTGAAAGCTGGAAGAGGGTGCTGGGGCGCCTTTTCGATGCACAGGGGCCCCTGTAGTTCAGACCACCCGTGGCTGAAGGGGCGCTTAGTCTCTCGGGCTCAAGGTCGACGGCCGAGCAGCCCCGTCCCAGGGTGTCAGGCAGCGACGCTGCGCTCTGGGCGGGTGCGCAGGGCGCTCGGCGTCCCAGGTCGCCACGTCACCCGATCAGTCCCCGCCGGCCCGCCCCTTCCCTGAGGCGCGAGCGACACCGGCCGCCGAGGGTAAGCGCTGCGCGACTCGCGGACGTTCTGGAAGCCCGCTCCAGGCCGCGGGGAAGCCCTGACCTCGGGGCGCCGGGGGGCGCCTCTGCTCGCCCCGGAGCCTGGCCCGTGCCCGCTGGAGTTTTAAGTTCAGATGCGCCGCGCCCCGGCAGTTTCCTCGCGCTCCTTTTCGGCTGGGGAGAGAGTTGTGGTTCTGCGGGCTTGTGAGAGCGCGCGGCCCTCGCTGCGGCGTGGCGGGGGGCAGAAATGTCCCCGGGCGCAGATCTTTACGTCCCCATATTCGCTTCTGGCCCGTGTGCACTTTGCCCTGGCACAGCCGGGCCGCGGGCCTGTTCACCCCCGTCTGTCCGGTGGGCAAACTGCCTGCTTTCTGCGTGCGCAGTTTGCTCTAGAAAACACACCGGAAGGGGGAGCTTTGGGCCAAACTGAGGTTTTTCTGTCCCCCAAACGCCCGCCTAATGCGCACCTGGTTTTAATAAGAGCCAAGGGAGAAATACGGCCTGGTGAACCTCAAGGATCCCTAAGAAATCCTGCCCATGGAGAGAAGGCAGAGTGCACATGGAGTGTACGTGCGCAGATGCACTCACTGTACAAGGGTTTGTAAAGACCTTCTGCACTTTTCAACTTTAATTGTAGCCTGGAGAGGATGTAGGTGGTAGGGATGTTAGAAATGGGATATAAACAGCAGTTAAAAACACATTTATTAACATTGAGGACAAGGAGATTACACAGTTGTGCACAATGTATTCATTTCTTCCCGGTTTTAATAACAAAAAAGGGGAATATTGAAAAACAACCACAGCTCCTTCCTACACTCCCACAGCCCTAATCTATGTGCACCCATTTTTTTTTTTTTTAAAAAAACATAGTTGCGCTTAGAGGTACATGGAATTCTTATTTCAAATTCTGGAATGAGGGAAGCAATTACATCTCGACAGAACGGAAGTCTTTATAAGTTCTGAGAAAAAAGATCTCCCAATGCATGAACTGGAATTTAAAGATTGTATCATGCTTTCAACCTATATTGTAAAAGTTTAAAGGATAAAGGACATGAAAGGCTTTTTTTTAAAGACCCCTGTGAGACATACATACATACATACATACATACATATATGTATGTATACCCATGAACATTTATTTTGCTATTCCCTTTAAAGCCAAGGACAGATTTCTTTACTACAGAGCACTTTGATGTTTACACTCTTAAGAAAGTAACTGTCTGGGCCCTCCCTGGTGGCGCAGCGGTTAAAGCACAGCACTAAGAAGCTTAAGCCACTTCAGCATGAGTTTGATTCCCGCGCCCTGGAGGAGATCCACATGGCGCGGCAGACCTCTCCTGACCTGCCCGCTGCTCCCCTCAGCAGTGTACTTCCTCAATCTACCTGTTCTGCTCCCGGCTCTGTTCCTGGTAAATCCTCTCACCCTCCACATCTCTGGCCTGTACCCCAGTTCTATATGAATAAATAAATAAATCTTTAAAAAAAAAATAAAGAAAGTAACCGTCACTTTACCTCCTAATAGAAATTGGAGAGGACTAATTTTCCATCAAGCATTTCTTAAAGCCCCATTCAGCATTTGAACAGAGACCCCAGGGTTTTTCTCTTGTTTCCTCTGCCTTAATTGCTTTGCCCTTGCCTTGCTAGCTCTTCTTACACATCTCTGTTTAAATACCATTCACAGCCTACTCCCATGCCACAGGATCTATTTTTTTTCTCCAAAGCATTAATTTGATTATTGCCTGCCTCCCACCTCAATAATATAAGGAACCTTGATGTTTTGCTTGCTGTTAGGTCCTGAAACCATAAGGCTTCAATCCTAGTGTCTGTCAGAACTAATATTTAATTTTTAAAAATAGTCTGCAGTGTAGAGTGTCACCCTAGAAGCACTTACTAAGTGAATGTGCTTTAGTCTCCAGTGCCTGTACCTGGGTGACTTGGGGCAGCTGCTGTCTGACCTGCTGGCCCTTCTTATAGCCACACCCACAGCGCCCCAGGCCAGCCCTGGGAAGTAGGCCCTGGATGCAGCTGGGGCCTCAAGCATCATGTTTTTTTTTTTTTGGGTCAAAATTTTGGATTAGAGAAGCGCTGGGATTCTCCCCCAGAGGCTGAGACTGTTGGCTGCAACCCCCTGACCCTTTAGCACTTCCAGTGCTTGGCTGCATGCTGGTGAAAGATGCTCTGTTATTGTTGGACTCCTGGCATGGGGGATAATTAGGGGAGTGACATGCTGCTAAAGTTGAGGCCTTTCCTTGTGGGCTGGGCCACAGGCTGCGATTGGCCTGCTTGTTGGCAAAGGCCATGGATTCCTGCAGATTCCTACGTGGTTCAGTTCTTGGAGGAAGCCTTGATGAGGAAGAGCCTGGGAGTGGGGGCAGAAAAGTTTGGAATTTCCCGGTTGTTCCTTGGGGATTGATTGTTGTTGAGAAGCTTGTAGGGCAGCACCAAGGTGGGGTGCCTGGGCCAGCTTGCTTCTCCTCAAGGCCACACAAGGCTCCCAGGGTCTCACAGGCTACATGCTGAGTGGGCTGAGTTGATGGGAGGGACCAGATGTTTTGGGAACTGCCTGTCGCCAGAAAGGATGCCGCTTGTCCTTGATCTCTGCAGTGCCCAACTTGGTGCCTGGCGCATGGTAGGTGTTTAATTAATACTCATTCAAATATGAAGCCTGAGAATGCCCTTGAAACTGTGTTTTAAGCCTGCGTGTGAAATGTGTTCTGTAGAAGTGTTTGCTTCAGTTAACATGGACTCAGGAGGGTGCCTGCCTCGATTCCAGTTCTAAAGTCTCCATCCACAATTTCACTGAGCGTTCTACACTCCTCATCTATAAGATGAAGATAATGATATTAGGGGAGAATTATTATCTCCTCCCTGCAATTTCCAGATGTGCAAACTGAGGCTGAATAACTTGGTTATATTCTGAGTTGTTCAATAGGGGAGTTGGGATTTAATTCAGAGTATGTGTTTTAATTGCAGTCTGTGGCTTTCTTATGTATCACTGATTGTATCTAAGCCATGTCCATTCACATAAAGTCACACACTGTTATTGCCTGTGTGAATCAGGGTATCCCCAAAATACAGAAATAAGCTGGATATAGAAATGACTGCTGGCAAATCACCAGTCCAACCTTTGATTTCAAATTTATTGCTGATCATCCTCAGTCTCTTACTTAGGAAATCATTCAAAATAGATGCATATAAGATGTAATGCCATTCATATGTGTTTTATTCTGTGTCAGGGAAGAAAATAGAGATCTACTGACTGGTGAGGAGATGGTGAAGAGCCACCGTTCTAAGGACTTCAGTTAGCCTGGGGAGATAGAAAAAGAAAGTTTGATGAAGAGGTCTGGCTAGAGCTGAATTTACAGAGATACTTATATTGATGGAATGTGTCAACAAATGGAGAAATAAAAGAATATTCTAAAGACTGGAAATTGGATGCTGCTGACAAAATAGAGAGGCTAAAAGTAGGAGAAGCTAGGTGCATTAGGGAAAAAGACCCGGGGGTGAGGATCTGAGGAAGCTGGTGTTCCAAGCTTTACACCCTCGGCTTTGGACCTTTGGAGAGAATGTGTTGTATAGCATTTAGTCATATAGTTGACCACAACTCCCCCACCCCTTTCTTCATCTCCAAATATTCCTCAGAACTTTGAAATGTACCAGCAGACCCAGCATATAAGTAAGGAGGTAGCCTGGTATTCTGGAACTACAGGGTCTTCATTTTTTTTTTTTGAAAGATTTGTTTATTTATGCCTAAAGAACTAGGGTATGAACCAGAGGAGCAGGGGGTGAGTGGATTCACCAGAGACAGAGTGGGGAGCAGAACAAGCAGATCAACTGAAATACACTGCTGAGGGGAGAAGCAAGGAGAGGTCTGCTGTGCCATGTGGGTCAACTCCCTGGCCAGGGATCGAACTCAGGTCACAGTGGCCAGTGATAGTTTGGTAGTGTTGTGTCTTACCCCCTGTGCCACCAAGGAGGCCTTTAATAGCAGCAGTTGCTCACAGTCAGCCACCTGCCCACAACACTGGGCCCCTCAGGCTGCATTTGCCTGTCGCCTCAAGTTGCTATTCTAAGTCCTGTTTCATCATGTCTTGAATTTACAGCACATGGGAAGTGCATTATCAACTCTGAAAAGAAGATTGGGATTTCACACTTGTGCCTGAAAAGTTGAAAAATTGTAGGAAAATTTGGAATTTTCTTGGAAACACTTCTGTCTTCCTTCCCAAGATCTGAAGGCCATGGTGCCCCTAACTGGTGCTCGGCTGCTGCTCTTGTTTAGACCTCATTTCCTATGGAGCTTTGTCCTTGGGCTTTGAAACATCATGTGCCTTATCTAACACCACATCGTTCAGATTGATTCCTTTCCAGGCCTGCTGCCAGCTCTCCAAGTGACATAAGGACAAAGTTCCAGTTAAAAACTCCCTTTGCCCGAAAGTCATCCTGTTGTTATAAAAAATTGTGGCCAAATGTACATAACCATGTTCTGTGGACACTTCAGTGCTCTTCAGTCCATTCACATTGTTGGGCAGCGATCACCACCATCTACCTCCAACCTCTGAGACTGCCCAGACTGAATCCCTGTCCCCATTGAACAGTAACTCTCCAAGTCCCACCCCCAGCAACCACCATATGGCTTTCTGACTATGCATTTGACCATTCTGGAAACCTTATATAAGTGGGACTCTCACAGAGCATCTGTCCTTCTATTTAAATCACTTAGGGTAAGGCCTTTAAGGTATACCCATGTTACACCATGTATCAAAATTGCCTTCCTTTTTGAAGCTGAATATTATTCCACTGCATGTACATGTACATTTGTTGATCCATTCATCTGTCCATGGCAATTTGAGTTATTTTCATCTCCCAGCTGTCCTAAATAAGTTCTTTCAGAAGTCCCTGCCTAGAGTTGCCTTCACATAAGTTGGAATGCCTTTTGGCTTTATTTTAACTACATTTGAGTTGGTGACAGAAAATTGCAAACCATTTTACTAAATCAAGTTG